AAGAGCAAGTGTTTAAATAAATATATGTAATTCAGGCTATATTAGATTGTTGGGTAATGGGTGTTAGTATTGTCGATCATAAATATGTACATATGCAGATGTACATACATACTAGTAATAATAAAGTTTTGATTCAATACATATGCATATTTTTGAGTGATTTCTTACAATTGAGTGCATACACACACCCATGCATAAATAAGAAGTACAAATCACCGGAATGGTATTAGTATCAAAGAAAAAACCAAATTCTTTTAAGTGCTTCCTTGTAATGTAATTTTTATACAAAGCTTTTTTCCGTATAAATGGGTTTTCATTTTCTTTGAGAAACTGCACAAATTCTAGAGGCTTGCAGTAACATATTAATGAAATAAGGACAAATTTATTCTTCAAAGTGAGGTTATGTTTGGGATGTATTCTTCAAAATAAGTGCTTTAACACACACGCAGTAACACACTTATTCGCTACGTTGGTTTGAGTGCGGCCCATTCCCGCATAGTTTCAAATGTCATTTTGCAACACTGTCGCAAAGGTTTCGAGTTCAATGGAATTCGACAGCTTGTTCTTTCTCTTCTAACTGTCGACGATGAAGGAGCCGAGTTCTCCTGGTAAATAAGTTAAGATGTCTAGAACCTGATTTTCCCAAGTGCATAGTATCAGCAAGGTGTAATTTTTATTTGGGTAAAGTACACGTTACTGGTACTAGGTACTTTGAGAAACATGACTACGGAGAATACCAAACTAGCACTGCAGCTTCAAGCTTTTCCCCACTCCTTGCTTTAGTACTTATTTTAATGTCGTATTAAAGCCAGAGTTTGGAAAGTTTTGATTCTGCTTTTTAAATCGCCACCCAACTTATAGTTTTCCAGAAATATTTAAGTCTGTTATGCATAGTTTTGTGAGTTTGACAAAATCTGCACAACCGGCTTAATGTATTTTTAGAAAACGAGCACCTTAGTTGTAAAGAATAAACTAATTGTACAAATTGTGATATTTTATCAAATCTGCCATAACATCCAAATACTTAACCGATGATCTAAAAACGGTGTTTTCTGTTATTTTACTATATAACTTATTTATGAAGAAGCTTTAGGATTTAATTTTTCCGACAATGCGATCTAGGCGTTTCTATCGCTGAGGTAGTATTGTTTGAAAGATTAAGTTAAAGCGTAATCATCAAAATTTTAAAATGTGAATAAGTACATAAGTGTGCCAAAAATATGTGTATCTTGTGAATTCCTTCGATATCCCGCGTGGACGCCATTTTGAATATTCTCTCTTGAATGTTGTAAAGCACAGCAGCAGCTGATTTTTGGATGTGTTGAGAATTTGAAGTTCATCTACTCTCTCCCCTATTACCTATTGCCATCCCGCTCTAAACTTCTGCATTCCACTTTGTCCCGTTTTGTGATTTTATTTTTCGGGATCTTCTTCGCGTTCTTTGCCCCCAGCATTTAAATTCCAAAAGTCGTCGCGAGTGGTCGTTTAAAACTATTGATCAAAGTCGATGTAGCCAACAATTTTCGGCTGTGGAGTGGGCTAGTACTGTGATTTTAACATTGAGTATTGCACATTCCCCAGCCTGAAAGTGTTTGCATTTGCCAAATATTAAAAATGACCATATTTATATAATTGATAATGTGAATTAAGTTTGAAGCGCTTCGGTTCGTACCAGGAGCAATTCTGCATTTTTAAGCTAGTATTGCACTTGAGACGGCCGGATTACTTTTAAACAAAACATTTTAAATAAAAACTAATACTAGTTATAGGTGGTAAAAACAGTTGAAACCCCTACCCCTAGATAGTTTTTCGGACGGTATCTGCGTCAATATTTCCTTGTTAGAATATATTGCACATTCACCAGCCTGAAAATATCAAGGACTTACATCAAAAAGCGCTTGCAAATACACAAATATTTGCAGGACGGGTCGTGTGTTAATGTATAAATCTATTAGCTATATTGCACACTTCCCGCTCTTTAAATGTCCAGTGTTTCAACTTGAATATCATTTCGAGTTCAATGGAATTCGACAGTTCGTTCTTTCGCTTCTGACCGTCGACGATGATGGAGCCCATTTCTCCTGGTAAGTAACTTAATGTCCAGAACCTGATTTTCCCAAGTGCATAGTATCAGCCAGGTGTAATTTTTATTTGGGTAAAGTACACGTTACTGGTACTAGGTACTTTGAGAAACATGACTACGGAGAGTACCAAACTAGCACTGCAGCTTCAAGCTTTTCCCCACTCCTTGCTTTAGTACTTATTTTAATGTCGTATTAAAGCCAGAGTTTGGAAAGTTTTGATTCTGCTTCTTAAATCGCCACCCAACTTATAGTATTCCAAAAATATTTAAGTCTGTTATGCATACTTTTGTGAGTTTGACAAAATGTGCACAACCGGCTTACTGTATTTTTAGAAAACAAACACCTTAGTTGTAAAGAATAAACTAATTGTAAAAATTGTGATATTTTATCAAATCTGCCATAACCTCCAAATACTTAACCGATGATCTAAAAACGGTGTTTTCTGTGAATTTACTATATAACTTATTTATGAAAAAGCTTTAGGATTTAATTTTTCGGACAATGCGATCTAGGCGTTTCTATTGCTGATGTAGTATAGTTTGAAAGATTAAGTTAAAGCGTAATCAACAAAATTTTAAAATGTACAAAAATATGTGTATCTTGTGAATTCCTTCGATATCCCGCGTGGACGCCATTTTGAATATTCTCTCTCTTGAATGTTGTAGAGCACAGCAGCAGCTGAACTCTCGATGTGTTGAGAATTTGAAGTTCATCTACTCTCTCCCCTATTGCCTATTGCCATCCCGCTCTAAACTTCTGCATTCCACTTTGTCCCGTTTTGTGATTTTATTTTTCGGGATCTTCTTCGCGTTCTTTGCCCCCAGCATTTAAATTCCAAAAGTCGTCGCGAGTGGTCGTTTAAAACTATTGATCAAAGTCGATGTAGCCAACAATTTTCGGCTGTGGAGTGGGCTAGTACTGTGATTTTAACATTGAGTATTGCACATTCCCCAGCCTGAAAGTGTTTGCATTTGCCAAATATTAAAAATTACCATATTTATATAATTGATTATGTGAATTAAGTTTGAAGCGCTTCGGTTCGTACCAGGAGCAATTCTGCATTTTTTTTAAGCTAGTATTGCACTTGAGACGGCCGGATTACTTTTAAACAAAACATTTTAAATAAAAACTAATACTGTTATAGGCGGTAAAAACAGTTGAAACCCCTAACCCTAGATAGTTTTTCGGACGGTATCTGCGTCAATATTTCCTTGTTAGAATATATTGCACATTCACCGGCCTGAAAATATCAAGGACTTACATCAAAAAGTCTTGCAAATACACAAATATTTGCAGGACGGGTCGTGTGTCAATGTATTGATCTCTTAGCTATATTGCACACTTCCCGCCCTTTAAATGTCCAGTGTTTCAACTTGAATATCTGTGAAATCATAAAATTATATAATCAATTTGGACTTTTCTTGGAAATGCACATTCCGTTATGTGCGAGCGAGATGACAGCTGATACGGTTCTTCTCCATTCCTCTTTTGGCTTGGTCACAGAGTTGCCAGATCGGTACATTGAGCGCAAAGAGAAACGGAGAATAATTTTTTTGCAAGTGCCAAGTGTTTAATTATAACGATATGTGCTTCACTTTATATTACACGAGGCTAGAGCTGAATATTCCCCTACAAGTGGTGCAACTAAGTAGCAATAAGACATTTTTTGGTGAATTTAGCAAATTAAATTAGTGCGCTCGGCTGGTTGCCTTTATTTTGCACGTCATTTACCGTTTTTCAAGAGGGCCCATGGCCAGCGTATATGTACAAATAAATGTTTCTTATCCGTTTAATGATGGGATGGCCATTGGTTTGGAAAACTAACAAGTGGGAGCATCATGAATAATGCCCAAGCACGCGCGAAACCAAGAGGTGTGAAATTGGGATCACGGGCTGCATCTTGGGCTCTGGAAAATGCAGTAGATGACCAGCAGAAGAACGGTTTTGTTTTTGGCGGAAGTGTAAGTACCGTTAGTACATAGGTATAGCTATATATAGCAATAATATCCATAACATCTGTTGCATTTAACTGGGTTTAAACTATTACTTCCCAGTTCTCATCTGTGGCTGTTGAGAACCGGCAGTTCGTGCTGACAGCGAGCGCAATTACATAAATGTTTGTTTTGACAACAATAGCGAGTGCAACAAAAACAATGGCAACAAAAACAAAAAATCCGGAGACGAGATTGCATAATTGCTTGTAAGATTTTGCTCCCACAATTTCTCAGTTTTTGTCATGGTACAAAAAAAAAGCAAAACTTACCGGCTGATTGTTATCTCTGCCAGAGAGCGGAAAAGAGAGGAAGTGAGAGCGATCCTTTTACCGTATCTTACAGCCTCTTGGATTTGAGCTTTTTCGCCTGCAAAAGTCGCTCTCTTTTTCGCCGCGCGACAGAGATGCTCACAGCGAGAGAACGACTTACAGTGGGCACTTTGTTTATTTTGGCGCCGCTTTTTTAAACGTACTCAAATATAACCATAAATTGTAATGTAGCACTTTCGTAATTGCCGGCTTTATTTATGCACTGTGAACAGCCAGGGGATAGCTAGCACCTTAGCATCTCTCCCACTGTCCACGCTCTGATGCCTAAGAGAGTTGATTTCCTAGCTAGTTTATAGCTAACATTTTAAAACTGTGGTAAATAATTATGCACCATTATCATCCTAATCAAATTATTAATATATTTGTAGATTTAATTCACAATAATTTGTAAAAATGAACACGTGCTCTACCCATTATATACATACTTTTCTTTTTTATATTTGTTTTGAGTAATTATATTATTACAATTTGGTTAATATAAGGTGCTTCCCCCTGGCTTGCAGGTTTCGCCATTTAAGCCGACTTCTCCTGAAATTGAGTCAGCATCTCTGTAGGCTGGCTCTCTCGATTCGCCATTCCATTCCCAATTCCGAGCTAATGAAGTTGCAGCCGAGCTGAGCCTCAGTTGCCTGGCGACTAGCGAACAGCTTGGACGTGTGGTGTGCTCTTCGGTGTGGTTTCGAGTCTCGATTTCCGAGTTTCCCCATATTGCAGCCGTCAAGTAAGACCCGCTCCGAGTTTTGTGTGAATTTGTGTGATATGTGTGTGGTTCGCGGGTCGTTTCGTTTTTTATTTGCCGTTGTCATTGGTTTTTGATTTGTTGAGCGGTCGCCGCAAGCCACTTGACGGGCATTCTCTTCTGGCTTTGTTTCATAATAACTCGCTGTGTGTGTTTGCGGTACATATCTGTATATATGTACCTATATGAATTGTGTCTGTGAAAACGTCAAAAAGGCCAGGCCGAGAATACAAATAACAAATAAAATGCTGGCCCGCTTGTGGAGCATGTGCCGTTGCTTCAGTTCGTTCGAAATGCTTGTAATAATATGCCGTTTGTCTTTCCGTTTCTACCCCCCGACCAATTAGATCCGGAAATTTTGGAAAATGCTGCTCCCAATGCAAATGTGGCGCTCTCTGTGGCTGGCGGCCTTTTTCTGCGGATTAGCCCATGCCAAAGGTAAGCACTGCTTGAATTCTATATGCAAAAATTTAAATATAAACATCAGAGTTGAGGCCTGGGAGTGCAAGGCTTTAAAGCTTGAGAAGCTCCCACAACGCAGCATGATGTCATTCGCGCAATGAAACACAAAAAGTATTTATTTTTTTCCCTATTTTGCTGAAAACCCGACTAAGTGACCTCGTTTTTGGTCGTGAAGTGCACATACACACACAATTTGTGGCCATTTGGAGTGATGGCCGAATAAAACGATCTTCAGTTTTGTCGGGGGCGTGCTGGAGCTTTTTTTGTCAAAAAAAAAAACTAAAGACTGAGGCAACGAACTCGCCGACTTAATTATGTTTGGCAGCGCAGCCCTGTCATGATTCACTCACTCGTTCTTACGCTTCCTGCCATATATTAATGCTAAATGGTATAAGGCATATATTCCTCGATATTTTCCTCGAAAGCCCTAACCCATTACTCATTAACTTGCCTGCCCCTGCAAGTTGCCTTACACAGCCAAGACAACAAACGACTAAACAAACTATCAAGCGAGCGCGGCGAAAAAACAAAAGACCAAACAAGACACCTACACAAACACAAGTGCTGGGAAGGCAACATGACACGCCAAAATAAAAAAAAAAATAACATAATACAAAGAAATAAAAAACAAAGCACGGCCCAGCCAAGTAGATAATATCGACGAGAAAAATACTCAAACAAAGCGAAAAAAGGGGCAGCACTCATAAAGCCCACACTCAACTGGTCAAGAATCGGCTGGGGTTGTCTTATTAAAAGGCAATCAGAAAGGAGAATTAACTGCAAAAAAATATTACGCGAGAAAAATGAAGAATTAAAGGCGAAATACAGCCAAAACGGGCGACAATCGGCGACTTGTGTAGGCGAACTGGTCTTGGGAATTAAGATGCAGCCTAAAAATACATGAAGTCGATTCGAATACATCTCTCTCTCCTGGACTACAAACAAACAAATAAATATATATGTATATATATAAATATACATATAGAAACGGTGCAGACGAGGCTGTAATTTACGGGCGAACCAAGCGAGACCGAGAGTCCGAGATTCAGCTCCTCAACGTTCTTCGGCAGCCAAAGCTGAAAGCTAAATTATAACTTGCCAACTTGCACAGCAGTTGCGGTGGATGATAAGGGGCTTTGGGGGGCTGCTGAGGGGGCGTGGCTGGCTTAACTAAAGCGAAACTTTTGTTTGTCTGCATTAGGGAAAGTAAAAGTCTGACTCAGACTCCAAAAAAAAAACCAACCAAACCGTTCAATCTATAGTGAGTTCATTGTCTTGTTGAGCTGAGATTTGTTTAGTTTAAAACAATAATAAGCAATTAGTAATATTCATTCAATGCCGTTTATTTAATATTTAAAATGCAAATTAAAAATAGATGGATTCAGAAGTGATTACACATATTTGCTTGATCTAATGATTTTCTTGGCCTCAGAATTCCGGGGAACTGCCACTGGATGATGTCAGCGCTTAAGTGGAGAACTTCGCACTCGAGTGCACATACTGATGAAACCGAGGGACTGACCTTCCCGGCGATTAGCCAAGCGGGCAGTCATTCTCCACTCATATACCACCCTCTACGGGGCAGCTGACAAATCATCGAACTGCAATTAACCGCTTAATTGCTGACTGACTGGATTGGGAATAAAAAGAAGCACACGCGACCTTGTGCTGCCGCCACATTAAGTCGAAGATCGCTTAATTTATTGCCAGAACGAACGTATGAACTGGCCATATAAATATAATAAATTGTTTACCCGGGAGGCTGCCAATCCCCAACCCTCCTTCAGCATTTAAATAACATGCGAGACAGGACAGAGAGTCAAACATTTAGCCAGCCAGCCAGGCAGCGATCGAGCATTGTCGCATTAAGACAAAACATTGACATTGCATTGTAGGCAGGCGGAGGAGGCCAGAATATGTACTGTGCGGACGGAGCAACAATAATGATCAGCGGATCTGTGACAGGCGGCCTAAAAGGACAACCACAGAAACGCTCGTAATAATAAAGAAATTGCCTTGCCACAGACCAAAGAGTCGGGACTCCATGGATGACCATGTCCAGGCTGCGCCACATTATGCCAGCGGGCGCTCGGGCTCGGAGAGTTAAGGCTGGAGTCCATGGGATGACCACGACGACCACGTTGATGATGATGATGAAGCTGATGCCACACAAGGCAAATAAACCGCTTCGACTTGGTCTTCGACTTTGGCCGAAGATGTGGCTTTGGCCCGGTCTCTTGACTTGACTTCGCTTTACATTTTTGCCTTATGTGTGCGAAAAATGCCAATTTTAGAGCAAGTCCAGCTCCCCAATGTCTGTGTCTTGTGTCTTGGCCCGGCCAGCAACAACTGTGTGTGTGAAAAATTGCCCGTCTAGACAAGCGCAACAGGCCATAACAGCAGCCGAGCATTGCGAGGAACAAGAACAATCAAAGCCTTTTGCTAAGCTAATAAAATCGAGCCTCGATGCCTCGGCTGCAGACTCGTGTCTGCTGCATTGATGCTCCTGAACCTGAACCACAATCTGAATCTAAGTCTGAGTCCCACCAACCTGTCCTGTCCCTCAGCCACACCGAGCTCTTAACCCATTAATGGCACTCGGTGCTCCCGTTGACCCAGAGAAATTTCGACCACAAGTTTATCTAATCGAGGTGGCTTTAAATGGGCAGCCTTAAATAGAGATTAATGATCTATGTCGATCAAATAGAGAACCTGACCAAGGAGTTCGGGAATTTTTAAAGGGCAAGGGTCGAAGTGAGCGATCTAAGTAAAATAAAGGAAGGAGTAATGAAACCTCAAGACACTTATATTCAAACTCCACTTCTGTCTTCTGCCTACCACATTAGTGAATTCATGTTGCACTTTTGACCAATTCAATTACAACACTTATGAGTAATCCCCTTACTTAATAGCAAATTCCAGCAAGGTTACGTGGGGTTAAGGTCGTCGGCTTTGTAACAATGCCTTGTGCAGTTGCCCCCCCCCACAATGCCTTTGCCCGTTTCGGCTTAGGTGGAAAAAAGAAAAGGGGAACCCGGCCTAAACTCTGGGGCAAACGTGGCCAAGATGAAGCAGGGGATCTGGGGATAAGACCTTCGCGGCAATGGGCAGATTAAAAGCTGGCGATAACAAAACGAGCAAATCGAATAGAGGCGGCTTGCTTTAAGGGCCCCACCAAGAATCCAGGATCAAACTGGGAGCAGCCCATTGAAGTTGGTTAGTTGGCCTGGCCAACAAGTACGCGGAGCGCCCTTTATTCTTTACATTGTTGCTGCCTTTGGTTACCAACACAGGCCGCCCAGGCATTTGTCATCAAGTGCTGGCCATCTCTTTGTTCGCCGGCGCATTTTATTGAATAATAATCGGATTGTCGGGGCGACGAGACAAAGACAACTTCACTTGCATTGGCTGGGGGTTTGGGGATTTCAGAATTGAGGCTTTTCTCTTTTTTTCTGTTTTTCAGTTTCTGTTGTTATTTTTTGGCATTAATTAGCTTAGTTGGTTGTTGCAGTGTACCGTTATCCACTGACCATTTTGGCAACATGTTGCAGCAGTAACGCAAAATCTGACAAAATCCAACTGCAGCGATACAGAGAGAAAGAGTCGGCCTAAAAGGCTTTCAGCTTTTGCTGCCGTTTCGACCACCGTTTTGGCCACAATCAATTCGCGCAACGCTCCCCAAAGGCAATTGCCAATCGGTGGCGACTCCGAAACACATGTGTGGCGTGTGGCGCGAATTGCGTAAAGTGGAGAAAGGGAGGCGGCATTGGTGGTGCAACCGATAACTGTATATGTACTCGACCACTAACGGGTTCGGCACTCCTCCGGCAAACCGCTCGCAGCGCATAAGGCATGCGTATTACACAAGACTAATTGTATTAGGCCAAGATGCAGCAACTGCAACAGAAAAAAAAGAACAAAAAAATAACTAAGGCCACATAAAACCGAGCGAAACAACTGCAACTGCTGCAAATTTGCATGTTTTGCATGTGGACATGACTGCTAAGAAGGCGAAACTGAATAATTTTATGGGAACTCCAGACAAAGGCCTGCGGCATGTGACTGAAATCAAGACTCCAAAGCGAGGTCCAATACGATACGAGAACTATATCGACGATTCACAGTGCCAAACACACTTTCTGGCAGTTTGGGCTCTTGGCGTGCGATTCGCATACTAAAATTATATGAAGGCACCAAATCTTAGCGCTTAGTTTAACTGAGGAATTTTACTATCACATAAGGTATAGCACTTCCCTTCATGAAATTCTTGAATATTTATCCAATTGCTTATTTTAAGATAATGAAGACACCAAATAGATATAAGTCTTAGTGGTTAGTTTAACCAAAGACACTACAATAATAAGATGCGTAACGGCCATACATTGGTTTTGCACTATGCAGCCACTTTTTTGGTAGCGGCAGTAATTGCTCGCATAAAATTGAGCATAAAAAAAATTCTATTTTTATTTATTTTATTTTATTTTTTTATTTTTATTTATTTATTTTTGCTTGTGTGAGTGAAAACAGTAAACAAAATAGTTGTGCTTGAGGACGATTTTCGGTCCCAAATCAATTTTGATCTAAGAAACGAATTTGATTAATGTTTTGGTCAATTTCGTTGTAATATGAGCTAAATATTATTTAAAAATTGATGCCGTGACTATTATTTTTTTTTAAGAAGTTGTTTTAATATTCTTTAGTATCTATTCTCAAATTAGCTACCGTTTACATATAAATATTTTTATTATTAATTATCTGAAATATATATTTATTTTTTGGTACCCAGGGAACACCACGGGGAGGAAATTACAATTGTAATGGGGTCGTATATTTATATGACCTTCGAGTCGACTTGAAATAATAAATGTTAAAAATAAATGTATGTATGTATGTATGTATGTATGTATGTATCTATGTATGTATGTATGTATGTATGTATGTATGTATGTATGTATGTATGTATGCATGTAGTGTAT